GTATAAGAGCCAGTTTCCCTTAAAAAGTCCTCCACGAAGGCATCCCTCTTTTAAGGCAGATGGCCCACGAGTGCTTTGCCGTAATCTTATAAACCAAACGTACTATTTTGAGGAAAATTGGCCCACGTTACATTTGACAAAAAACATGAATACATCCATGAATAATGACCATTTTGCAGGGATTCGAACCCACGTCGTATTATCAGCGTTCAACGATTTTATCTACTCGGCCACCTTGTGGATCGATTACTAAATTAATAACCTACCACACTCTGAAGTATTACTTACGGCTAAATAAAAAAAGTTCTTAGATAATAATCTAATCTTAATAAAAATAAATTATTTTCAACAAATTTTTCATTACATCTTAAAACATCAAATACAAAAACCTGACCAAATATGTTGTTTGAACTGGTCTATGTTTAGCATAATATTTCAGCCTGGAATAGTGAGAAATTACATTCAAACTAGCAACTGTTGTTTCAATTACATTTACTATTTAATATTCGTGGGGGGGGGGGGAAGGAACCAACTTTTGTTTGGTGTAAATTTTGAACAAAAATCTATAGATTTCGAGGGCAGTCTGCAGAAAAGCGACCTGCGTCTGATTGCCCTTGAAATCGACAATTTTAGTCAAAGTCTACGGTAAAGGTTGCATTTTTGGCGTAATTTAACATCATTTTAACATGATGTGCTCCTCTTCCAGTTCGATACATTTATTATTTTTGAATACAAGGTGTATTTTATTATTAAAATTGATGGCAATAGCTCTTTTAATTTTAGATTTTGTATTCAAATTGAATCAGAGCCAAAATATATTAATGGAATGAAATTTTATTCTTACGTTCCTGCATTTTATGTACTAATAATTATGAAATCCTAATATTTGCTCATCAGAGAACATAAATATTCCCGTAATTTCCACCTTTACAAATAAAGTTTTCGGCTCATGCGTTTGTTTTAAAATTACATTTATATAGTTTCAGATAATCTGGAGTAAATGTGCTCAAATAAAAAGCATTTCTTAAAAAAAAACCAGAGCCCAAAAATTGAAATTCTAAGTGCAATGACTGCAATAATGATTTGTTCAAAAAATGTCCCATGGCATTATTTAAATTTTTACACAGCATTTAAATCCTGATGTCCCTGTGAGAACGTAATGAAAGCTTCGTTAAATTTTCCTTTAAAAGTAAATTGTAAAATTCCTCAAATCCATATTCAAATAATTATAGTTTATACCTAACTTCACTTTACGATTAACATTTTATTGCAAATTTTCATACCCTGTTAGATTAACACATTTTTGCTTGCTTAAAATAATTATAAATAGATACATAACTACTGCTTGCTTAAAATGTTCATAGCTTGCATTTTGACATACTCAAACATATAACTTGTAATAGGCAAAACTCTTCTTTAAATCTGAGTACTACTATTCTGATTTGGTTATGGCCAAGCGTGCCAGAGCTATCTGCTTAAAGGAAGGGATGGCTTCGTGGAAGATTTTTTAAGGAAAGTGTTTCGTATCCACGTTAATCATGGGAAAATCTCGAAACCGCCCACGTACCCAGCCAGTTCGCTGGAATTTAACTCATGTCAAAATACTAGTATTCAACAACGCTAGCGTTCGGCTGCTGATGCGCCTATTGCTATTTTGATAGTTTGCCTTTTCGATCTTATCTAAAAGTAGTTTCGTTGCTGCTTGTATTATAGCTTCAATTTTTATAACATTTATTTGACTTACTTCTATAATTACTCACGAAAATAAAAATAGAATAAAAAATACAAAGCTACTCTAAGAAACTAAATCAGATCTTACCCTTATCTTGTGCTTCCAACATTCCCTATTTGAATAAAATATTTCTTAGTTTACGAATTATTCGAGTAATAAGTAGTGAAAGAGATACAACGCCGTAAATTTGCAAAAGCCACTTCGTAAAAATAAAAAATAATGTAAAAAAGTTTACTTTATTCGTAATAAATCTGGTTATGCAAACAAGAAGTATGCACAGGCATTTTTTAGTTTTTTTAATAAGATATAAAAATTGGACAACAACAAATTCTTTCCTAACTCCTTCGCTCGTGATCTTAACAGTTTGAAACATATTTTATCTCTTTCTCAAAGAATCCCTTATCAGTTATGGATACTATTTTTGATTGATTTTGAAACGTCCAGTTATGCAAACCTCTGAAAGATGCAATTCAGAATCGATCCCCATCTTCTCGAAAGTCGAATATGTTCGTCGAGTTTATATTTCCTAATCGCATAATTCTGGATGAAATTACCAACATCGAGTGATCAGTTTTGATGGTCTTTTCTTTTAATATCAGATTAAACCAATAAATCATACAATAAATGCATGGTAAATTTAATGAGCAAAGTAAAAACAAATTGCAATGTTTGGTGCAGTGTGTCTTTGAGAATTTTACCTTGTCAGAGAGCAAGTAGGTAAATCAACTGAAGTCTGGTAGTTCATCCCCGATTCAATTTTCGACGACTGAAAGGAGTTACTGCAAAAACATTTCTTAGTACTTAGCTGAGACAACCGTGTTTTATAAAGTTCTCCATGATGGCAGCCCTCGAGTGTTCGTTTCGATAACTAAATAATGTAGGTTTGTTACATAAATGTCTTACGGAAGAGAACGTACCGACAGTTTTTTTTTTTTTTTTTTTTTTTTTTTTTTTTTTTTTATATGATGTTCAACACTGAATGCAACGTAACAGAATTTGATTTTTTATTCGGATACCAAAAGAAAAAGTTCGGAGATCTTGCCTCAAGTTAAACTTTTCTTAAGCCGTATAACACAATACAGAAAACTTAAACACATAAAGCATAAAAAATCGGATATTTCATTAAGAATATATTTCACGTTAGTGTTAAAAATTTATGGAGCACACATATCTCGTAATTAATAGTTGCGCATCCTGATAACAACCTTAAGGGCAAAGGACGTTTTATTGAAAAAAAAAAAAAAAAAAAGGCAGCGTTATGAATTTAAAATGAATGCATGCATGCATGTCTGGCTATGTGATGAAATATGCATATCTGTCTGTGTTATGAATTAGTTCCATGTTTGATCGCTATTAACATTATGATTTCTACATTTTGTTTCAAATAAACGCATACAAGTATGTCTTTGGTTAAAATCGCCATACATACATTAGAACTTGGTCGGGATTTGCCAACATCTAATACTTCAAAGCACAAATTTGTTTATCTAAATACTTCAAAGCACATGAGGCCTACGGGAATAGATGCCTTCGTAGAAGACTTTAAGAGAAGGCTTATATTCATGCTATACAAGGGGAAAATAACGCAAGTTAACCTTTAGCAAGCCCGTTCGAACTCAGGAAGAACTGCAGCAGTCTTCAAGCTGTGGGCTACTCCACCAGGAATGGAACCCGATTTATATACTTAATTAAATACCTAAATAAACTAAATTAAATATCAGCAGGCCGAACATGTTTTTTCATAGAAATATTTGTACAATAATTAATATTTCATAAATTCTTTAATTTACAGTAGAACGTATATAACACTTTCACGAAAAATTGTTTCTTTTCTCATAAATTTGTTTCAAAAACAATCTTTATTATCAAAAGATTTTATTAAAATTATTTAAAATCACTGAAAAACTATTGCCAAGAAAAAAAAAATTCCAAGACGAAGATATGAATCGTTACTTATAACATTCATTTTTTATCATTTTTCATATTAAATATGTGCTTCTCTAATAACTTTTTGGTGTATGGCAACGTTTTATCAAAAACGTTTTCCTTAAAAGATTCAAATCCTTCATATAATCAAGTAGCAACAGATGTATAGTAACAATATGTAATTGTTTATCTAAATGTAGAAATATTTTAAAATTTAAATAAAAAAATCTCTGAAAGGAGAAACAGAAAAGTTTTTAACTTTCGTTACTGCACGAAATTATCCAACAGAATCAACAGATTTCAAGAGAGAAAAAATCCGTACTATTTACGGAATTTAACTCTAGAAAAATTGATTTACATTTACTCTGTTGCAGTGTCATTCAAGGTAAATTATCTTTGTACAGTTTTAATTTATTAAAATTATACGTACATATTGTTTAACTGCTCATTTTAATTGTTTAATTACTCATTTTTTCATTTCTTCAAAATAATTTAATGAGGCCATACCTTTTTAAAAACTTAATTTCCTAAATCTTAGGATAACTTTTGTTCACAGCTTAGATTTGTATGATTTCGTAGCCTATTCCTTTAATATCAAATTTTAATGAAAGAACGAAATATTTACACTAAGAACGATATGTATTTTACAAAAATATAAAAGTTCTTATTGTCATGACTAATGATATTTTGCAACTGCTCTTTAAGACTTCAATTTATTTTCTTACTAGAAATCAGTTTAATCATAAATTTTGCAAGAAAATGTCAGTTCCTACATTTGTTCCCTAAACTGTTTTTTGGGGAGGGAGGGGCGGATAGTTAAACTTTTAAATCAAAAAATAAATTTCCCACCTCCATATTAATTTTAACTTCCAGCAAATTTTCTGCATTTGGCTTAATAATTTCCTCTAAATATATTCAAAGTTAATAAGCATTTAATTATTTTCAGAATATTTTGTTTTTTGTTCAATTCTGACATGCTTTCTTCTTCTCATAAGCAGAATAATTTTAATAATAAAATAAAAATGGTTAACTCATCAAAATTTATAAAAAAAGAATACATAATTACACATTATTTAATCAATTTTTGCAACTGTTATATAAAAATGGTATCGGTTATATGAAAAAAAAATTATCATTCTCAAATTTTCCCATTAAATGCATATTTTTTTAATTTTATTTTGAGGTGATTAAAGCTATAAAAAATCAAAATAAAATTTTATTTAATAAACATGAAATATGCTGTAAAAATATTGCTTTACTCAGTATTAAATGAAACTTATACAGCCTACCTGGAGTTAAGTTTTAAAAAAGTTAACTATGTACGAAAATCATTAACGCTTACCTATGCTGCAAAGCAATGAGTCCTAAATAGACAATGTGTGCAACGTCGAGGTTTGTTGGCCAATCTCCGCTAGCAACGATCCCAAATAACCCACATGCTTCTTTAAGTTCAAAATCTGCATTCTCGGAGCTATCCATCTTCAGACGACGAGCTAGTAGAATCACTTGCAAGCTGACTGTGACCAAAGAAATCGCGTCTGAACTTTGCGCCAAGAACCACGTGACTATAATCTTGCCGGAAAAATACTTGCCGTGCAGGTTCTTTCAGCGGCTTTGCAAGTGGTTTAATCGCGAAGTATTCTTCCGCCGTTTTTAGGCGGTGGTTTTAATAGTTCTGTCTAGGGTGAATAAGGATTGAAATAAAGCAGATTAGATTATGTTAATACTATGTTTCTTTCACTTCATTAAAATTTGAAAGAAATTCTAAGCTTTCTTTTTAACCTTGCTTATATTTCTTTTTCTTTGTGTGTAAAGCATCTTTAAGCGTTATTTCTTAACTTACGATTAGAGTGCGATATACAGAAACTGATAAGTAATCATTTTGTCCGCGGAAGATAACGGTATTTCGAAATAAAGATAACTTACAATTAATTTTATCGCCCTTCATCTCCGAACTATTTCGTAATTCTGTCTTATAAATTTTACCTGAAAGCTCTGAATCATTCAGTGTTTAACACGGGATCATTTGATTTATTACTGGATTATTTCAGTTAGCCCTACCTTTCATCATGTCGCCCGGTGAGTACTCAAGTGTTAATATTTACTTTACTCATTGCTAATATTTATTTTACTGCTTTCCTCTTTTCTCAGATTTATTGTAAAAGCTAAAAGAATGATTTTATCAGGTTTCCCACTTTGGTTTGGGTTGCAGTATTCCTCCGTTCTTGAATAAAATTTTAATTTTAGCCAGCGGCCTAAATAAAATTCGGTATTTAAATTTGGTAATCAACCATTCAGCATTTATTTAACATATTTTATTAAATTTTTTGTATTTATTTGCATTTAATTTAATGATTATAGCGTTTACCATATTTATTGACTTATCAACCCCCCCCCCCATTTTTTTACTAATTTTATCCTATGTAAAATTAGAGGGAACTGCAAATAATTTCCAAAGGACGTGGTTACAGTAAGAACATAATAAATGCAAAATATCATGGATGAACTGCCAGTAACTACACAATATTCTTTATTTAAGAGAAACCTACATTCCAGTAAAAATATATAGTAATATTAATATATTACTAGAAAGTATAAATAGAGATATCTTATTAGATATTGCATATATTACTATATAATTAATAAGTAATATTGACATATTACTATATACAATATCTAAAAAGATATCTCTCTTTTTACTTTCCTTGAATCTTTACCTGACTTGTTGGTGTCCATTGCTACTTCCTAGGTCTGAAATCATTTAGTGATGTATTCACTGTTTGTGTCGTCTGCTACAGCTTACAAGTTGTCATCAGTATCACTGCTGTCTTCCCACATGCAGTGCTCTTCAGGACCATCAACATTATAAGACATCCACATTTTCTTGCAGTTTTATGTGACTATATGAATATTAAAAAAAATATTCAGAATCTTGTGTTAAAAATCTAGGGGGGAATTTACAGTAGTAAAAATAGTATTTACCTTTGTAGAGGTCAATTCGGCATAATGTTACTATTGTAAAATTAAATATGGTACTTTCTGATTTTCACTCATATCTGTCTTTTGCACAATGTAATTTAAGTTAGTTCTTTAGCTTAAAATATTTATTATGCAAAGAAGGCTAGCTAAATGCATGCTTCAAAGGAAACAACAATTTTTAGTTTTACTAAAATGTAATGAATTCAAAAATTCACATTATTTCGGAAACTAAAAGTATCTAATCACTTTTGTAAAACGCCATTTTTTTTTTTTTTTTTTTTTTATCTTGCAAAATTGAATAAGTTTTGATAGATATGACTCCTGTATAATTTGATTTTTTTTTTTTTTTTTTATATATCTTTAGCACTGGAAAGAGGAGCCTTAATCATTGAAGGAAAAACTAAAAAAATATTTGAAATTGTTGGTGAGCCAGACAAGATTTTAATGGTATCTAAAGACAGAATTACTGCTGGAGATGGAGCCAAAGCTCATGATATGGAAGGAAAATCTGTCATTTCGACTGCAACTACTGCCAAAATCTTTGAATATTTGAACGAAGTTGGTAAGTTAATGAAACAGAATTGTTTTAAATAAGGTACTTTTTTCTAAGATGATTATATAATATATATATATATGTTCACTTCCAGGCATGTGTAATTAGAGTGAATGATTCCAATGTAAGCTGCAATATTTATTGAAAGTTCTACCATTTTTTCAAATTTTAAGTCAGCATTCATGTTTATATAACATGTAGGTGCTTGTTTTAACCTTTTGACTACTAACAGGACATATATGTCCAACTAAAAGTGTAAAAATTAGTGCTGGATTAAATTATACTTAGAATCTCCTGAATGTCAGGGATCATCTTCCAATATGTAATTTGGTAAATCAAGATGCCGCTGTGCTCGTTGTACACAAATGAATGTAGGGAAAAGATCAAATATGAGTTGCCCAATGTGTTATGTTGGGTTATGCAAAGAATGCTTTACCCTGTACCGTACGATGTAAAATCTATTTCATAGAATAAGGTTTTTCAGAATAATAGGTATGCTTGTAGTAAGTCAATCACTATGTGTGGGACATATGTATCTCAGCCTTTGACTTGAAAATAGTTTGTCAAATAATCCCAAATGCTAAACCTTATTTATGACATATTTTGTCCACTTGGATAGAAAACGGGATATATATATATTTTTTTTTTTTTTTTTTTAATTTGCAGTCAAAAGTGCTGAAGATACTGGAAGAGATGTAAAGCTGATCATGTCGTGTCAGGGATATAAGCTAAGCTGGAAGAAAACTTCAAATCATAACTTGTGGGTTTTTTTTTTTTTTTTTTATTTTTTATTTATTATTTATTTATTTTTTTATTTTAAATCATTTTTCAAGCTACGAGATTTGGATCATGAAGAAAAATAAGATATTTTCTGTTGATTAATTCCATATAATTCTATTTAAGTACTTCAACCTGTCAGTCCAGTTCTTGATAACACATACTTGAATCTACAGGCTAATCTTTGGAATATGGTAACAGGTAGTTTGGCGACATTTTGGTAAGGCGATAAAGGTTACTAGCTAGGACTTTAGTAGTGTACATGGATAAAGTTAAGAGTGTGTGCATTGCCATTTTTGTGCAATTCTGGGATGTTTTTTTAAGTGAAAATAGGTCGACATGTACATGGATGATACCGTGTATGTGCAATTCTTAAAAACGCGGCAAGCAGTGGGCGATTCTGCACTTTCTCCCAATATTGCACCTAATGTTCGTCATGATTAAACATTTTTGTTCCATAAAAGTTCTAGTATAAGCGCAATTTGGCTAGCAGATTGTTGGAAAAAATGTTAAGTAAAAAAAAACAAAATGGCGTCTAAAACAAAACTAGCAGGTTGCTGTAGCAGGGTTGGTCGCCAAATTTTCGCCAAAAAATCGCCAAGTTACCATAATACAAAGATTAACCGAATCTACAGTCTGGTCATAATCAAGGCCATCTGAATATACAATATTTTTCAGTCTCATTACTCACATGAAAATGTTTTTTTTTTTTTTTTTTTTTTTTTTTTTTTTTTTTTTAATGTTTTGGTTTTAGAATTTTAATTGATTTTCATTTCATCCAACATGTCTGAGGTTTTCATACAGAACCAAATTTTCACTGGAAGATATCATTTTTTTCTGAAATGTTTTCATGTTTATGACTGTTGTTCATGTTGTAATGTCCAAGTTTATGATTTAAACCTTATTGGCTTTTGTTCTTCTGATAAATTGTTGAAATTCGTACACCAGCTCTGTATGGCATTGTAAGTTATTATAGATGTGTTTACAACAGTCAACCGTGACAGCAATAGAGTTGTTCTTTGCTTTAGATCTGTGGTTTACTAATCCCAGATTGTGCAGCAAAGTTGGACAATCTCCATAACTCCAAAAATATCTAAAAAGTCTAAAAACAATAGAGGATCCTTTGTTAAAATCCCAGGAAACTAAAATATGGGCTGGGGTGACCACGTCAGCCTTACACCAATGGCGTTTAGAGAAGATCTTTTCTTTCTGAAATGCGAGTGCTCTAAGTATGGGCACTCATGAAGCACGAGAAGGCTGCATGATATTTTTTAGGGGATGGCTGAAAGGACCCACTCGTCACCAAAATGTCACAGGTGATTAGTAAGAATCCTTCCAAGTTGGTTTAATTACATCTTCCTAAGAAAGAAGATTTCACTATATATGAGAGCCCCACAAGGGCCCTCTCCATCCACAGCAGCAGTCCTGGCCAGGTAGTTGGCCCTTTCATTTCCATCGATTCCAGTATGAGATGGGAGCCACTGAAAATGGATAATGTGTCCAGAATAAAGCTGGACAAGAAGGTCTAAGATATCCAGGCTTGTCTTGTCTTCTATCGCTGTCCAATTAGCTAGGTGTCGAAAATCAGTTTTGTTACCATTGCAAGAGTTAAGAGTGATATTCTTATATTTTGAAAACTATTAAGGCTGCATTTCAGTAAGAGACTAGTAAAAATGTTTACCACGTACCTTAATATATTAATACTTGCTGTATAAATTCTGTAAATTTTCTTAATATTTTTTCCAATGTTCTTCATGCTCTGTCTGATGCAGGATTTGTTTAAATTGATTTTTAAAAGTCATCATTTTTGCAGTATTTTAGTTTCAGAAAAACTTTTGTAGGAATAAAGACACATTATATCAAGCAGCATGATGAAAGATCTTTGATTGCAAAAAAATGTGAAATGATACCTATTGAGTGGGTATCTCGGCGACATGCTACAGGATCATTCCTTCGGAGAAATCCTGGTGTTAAAGAAGGATACCGTTTTTGTCCATTGAAACTAGAAACATTTTACAAAGTTAGTACTTTTTAATTTTATTTTTAATTTCACATCAGATAATAGCATGAAGAGGTATATATTAAGTGTTATTCAATGCCATAGAAGTTAAGCAACAATTTTTTGCATTGAATTATTAATTATCTTAAGTGTCCTATTCAAAAAAAGCCCATTCTAGGAGATTGCTGCCTAAGTATAAATTAGTAATTGATCCTTGTATTATCAGAACATCTTAATAACTCTTGCTGCTGATTATACTAAAATATTTTAAAATTCTGAAAAATTTTAATACAGTCAAAAATCGTTAATCCGGACACCCATAATCTGGAATGATCTATAATGCGGACCTCAAAGCTACAAACTTTCTGTGCATGCATCAACGCATAATGCGTTCATGCATGCGCATATGCATGTGCGCATGCACATAATACGTTTACGCATGCGCGTTAAATGTATAACGGACGGTAAAAGCTAAGCTAAAATTATCTAATTATCTATCTCAGTTAATGTTGCAGATTGAGTTGTTCCTTAATCTTCGAACTGGATCTGGTTTATTATTTTTTGCTGACTGTTAGAGCAATTTTATAAAAGCAAGCTTGAACTTATGTCAAATAGAATTTCCGATGTTGGAGCTGCCAAAGGGTCTACAAAGCGAAAGTATGTTTCAATGTCCATCAAACAAAAAGTGGAATTGCTGCAAAAAAATGGATAAAGTCATATTCTTTTTGTTTTTCTAACCATTTCAAAATCTGTTTATCAATTTCATGCTGCTCTGCGTGGGGGGGGACGTCGCAGCGTGCAATGAATTGGAAGTTGATCTGTCAGCACTATCCTTATCTTCAGGGCAGATGTTTTTATTTTATTTGGCTTATAATTCCTTACTAAATGTACTATTTCATCTCGATGTACTCCGACTTTGATATGATTTAAATCAAATTCCTCGTCATTATAATTCGCTTCCGATAGTGAAGAAAGTGACAGAGAGGTTATTGAAAACGAAAAAATTTCGATTGACAAATTAGTCGGTATTCTCGACACAGCAATTATAGGACTTGAACAGCGGAACTTTGTAACTGAACAAGAAATTATGTCTGTTTATAGAATTAAAGAGAAAGTATTATCACATAAAACGAAACAACTTACATTGAAAGAAATGTTTTAATAAAGTAAACAAATAGATATTAAGCTTTTGTTTTGGTGGTAAATTTTGATCCCCCTTTAGATCATAATTGTTCTTTATTTCATAAATTATGGTTTCATATTTTCAATTTTATAATTTCTGCATGCCATCTTACCAGATTTAAACTGATGATCTATAATCCGGAATCGACGAAGTCCTGACAAGTCCGGATTAAAGACTTTTGACTGTAGTTGTATTAAAAGCATATTACCTATGATGTTCTGATTATTTATTTATGCAAAGAAATTTTTTAATTGGGAAAATTATAAAATAATTGAATAACTATTCATATGCAGAAGATCGTTCAAAATGCTAAATAATTATTTAAATGTTAAAAGTGCAAGTTAGGGTTTTTCTTTTACACTAATATGAGTTTGTTAAATATCTGTAGTACTTCTTAATTTTTTATTTTTAACTATTCTGAATGATATCTTTATATCAGGATGATGCTAACCATGATCCTCAGTGGTCTGATGAGCAGCTAATCTGTGCTGAACTAGTTGTTGGAGGATTAAAAATTGGAAGAAATGAAGTGGAAATTATGCATAAAACTACTGCTTGCATATTTGAAGTTTTAGAAAAAGCATGGTCATCGCTTGGCTGCAGCCTGATTGATATGAAAGTAGAATATGGAGTGACTACAAATGGTAAGTTTTTTTATTTTCTATTTTATTTTAATTTACGGAATAAAGCATGAATTTTATTTAGATTTGTCTTAGCTTAAGGGAAGCAAAATATGCTTTGCCTTTATCTCCACTGCCAGCAAAAAAAACTTACCTTTCTCCATGTGCGTTTCCAATAAATGATGAAATTTGCGAATTTTTAAAAAAATGTATGTAAGAATTGCATTATATATATTTTTTTTTTACATTATTTTACAAAATCCTCTGAAAAAATTAAAAAATAAACATTTATGTAATTTTTCTATAGCAGTGAAAATATAAGTACCTGCATAATAAGGACGTTTGGGGCTAAATGGATAAAAAAAACTCAGTAAAATAAGGATAAAAAAAAAAAAAGACTCTGTGTTTATATATATATTGTTTTGTCTTTTTGGTACATGCATAGATCCACATTTTCACGTTTCACACATGTATCTTCTTCTTTGAGGTTTCTTTTTTGTGCTACAAAATGTACACTGCCTGGATCTAAATTTCACTGGTATATATATGTCCAACGTTATTTCGTTTCTTTTCATCTGGCACATGAAAGTTGTGGTTTTTTATGTTAATGGGGGGAGGCTTGGTCTTTTTGGCTTTGGTAAAGATCATTTGTTTCCCATTCATACTTATTTTATTCATATTTCGTCCTAAAATATTCAGAAAATATTACTAATTTAAATAAAACTTTAAGCGATTTCTATTTTTAATCATAGCAGAGTATATTTACATTAAATTTAAACCGCAGGAAATAATTTATAAAATAACAGTACTAGCTTGGGGAGCATTGTGTTGAGGTCAGAGAAAAGTCTCTGGAAAGGAAAGACCTTTTTACTGGGCAGGTGTGTATATTGTTTAGTAATAAAATAATTCTGTAGTTTCAAAATGCCTTGAACTCCAGGCTATTTTTTCAAAGCGTGACCAGAGCAATGTGTTTCAAAGGGTGACAGTTCCCGTGAGAATTTGCAGGATGTAGTGTCGTTTTTGAAACACGGTGCCATGCATGTATGGGTGCTTTTTTGTATATGAACAAAATGCATTTTTATTGATGGTGGAAGATGATTGAATTTGACCTATTGTAAAGTTTATATAATTAAAAGGAATTATTTGTAACCAACCGAAAAAAAAGGAATCCATTTGAAGTACTAAGACCTAAAACATGTATGATTCTGCAGTCATTTTGTGTTATTTAGAGGTAAAAAAATCAGTAATCAATTGATTTTCACTCAAAAATTTTGGAAAGAAAAAGAGAAAAAAATTCGAAAATTGGTGGTTTTAAGGTGCGACCACCACGCGTCAAAGGGTTAAATCATAATCTTACATTGTCAGCAATTCTGAAAACTAAAATTTAATTGCAAACTAAAAATTAAAAAACAAAGAAAACCATAACATTTATTACATGCATTTAAATGTGTAGCTTTAAATGACTTATAAGGCTTTTTACTTGCATTTTAGTTTAATTATAATAACTTTCTAACATACTTTAATTTTCCCTTTGTAGCTACTATTCTTGTAGGTAATTTGTTGCTTACAGCCCAGACTGGTGGATCAATACTTATTTTAAATAAGCATTAATAAAAAACTTAATATCTGAATACTTTCTCTCAGTTATTAAAAATCCACATTAAAAATTTATTAATATGTAATTGAGTCGATCATAACTGTGTCATGTGGCTTGATCTTTTTAAACAGAGTTTAGGTCTTTATGTAAAGTTCTCCTGCTACTTTTTGCTTCTCTTCAGAATCTTAAAAAGTAGAGATTACTGATCAGACTCGCATTTGAAAATAATTTGGAAGGAGAAACTGCTTTGTTCTCTCTTCCTTAACTCTGAATGTATCTGAAATACAATCATTAGATCACTCCTGGTCACTTTGAACATGTGGAAATATTGAATTGCTGCATGAAGAAAATGTAGTTTGATAAGTAACCCATGCTGTAAAATAAAGATTACATTAATGGTATCTTGACATCTGAATATTTTAGTGTAGTAATCCATAAGAATTTTAACACTTTTGCTGTCAATTGTATGAGGTTGTGTTAATAATTATTGCTGTGACATAGAAATAGATTGTACCCATAGGCTGACTTATTTATTCTAAGAAATATGATTTAAAAGAGGTAATAAAAGATGATTGTGTGTATCACAATGATTGCTAAGCCTTTAATCGTAGAATTTTATGACTACACACTAGTGCAGGAAACAATAGAGGTAAAATTATTTACTCAGTGCCACATTACATGCCTGCAAGTGCCATTTAAAAACAAATTGACATAAAAATAAGTAACAATATGCATTATTTTTGTATGAAACTATATGACAAACAAATATGTACATTACAAATGAATTTATTACAAAGTACTTACAAATGATATTGCTACCAACTATAGATAGTCTATATTTTAGGGTACCCATTGGATTATTGCCAAACTGTTGTTTCATTTATGGTAACCTGAATATTTTATGGTGTATGTTTGGGATCATGTGATGATGATAACATGATCACATTATTGTTTTGTAACTGTGTCACAAAACAATAATGAAACTGTGTCAGTGAACACAGTTTCATTATTTAAAGACAGACCTCTTGTTCTAAAGGGTAAAGCATGATTGTCACTTAAACAGTGTTAATAACATTTACATAAACATTGAATTAATACCAAACTGAATTAACTGCCACATTAGTGGGAAAGAGGACATGCTTTTAAATTTCTTTCTAAAATTAATATTCAATATTTCATTCCAAATAAACTGAAAATGTTTTGCTGTGATATGCAAAAAGAAATGAAAAATTAGTTTAGCACAAAATGTATTAGATGAAATCTTATTAAGTATCCATAAAAATACTGAATATGTATTTTCACAATTATATTCAACTTACCCAGGTTTTATCCATTAAATGCAATTTTAGGGATGTGTTTATTAATTCGGATTTATTTTCTTTAGTGCTAAAAACAGAGCCAGTGACGGAGCAGAATTTAGGGGAAGCAAAAATTTTAGAATTTAGAGAAGTACCAAACAGCACAATTTATGGATAATAAAATTTTTAGTAATTAAGGAGGTACTAGGCAGCAGAATTTAGGACCTACAGGGGTAAAATGGTAAAAGGCAGCAAAATGTCTAGTGCTAGCCCAGATGAAGAGTAATAGATTCATAATAAAAGTGTAACAAAATATATTTGATATTGTGGCAGTATTTTTTGATCTCTCGTGAAGGACGTCATTTAAAATATGAAGTTGTGAGGAGGAGCAAATATATGATATTGAAATTATTCATTTTATCTGCCTCAGTTCACAAAATCTTTTTTAAATAATTTTAAAAGTTAAAAGTACTTTTTATTTATCAACTACAACAAAGTGGTAATTTATAATTTATATCCATTTTATATGAATAACATTTTCTAAGTCATGCTTATAAGTATTCTAAAAGTAATTTTTATTTTCATATTATTTTAAGCATTTTAGTTATTCAAATGAAATTTAAGTGCTTAGAAAACAAGCAATTCACTTATTAAATTATTTTATCTCACAGTATAGTTCATGGCTAGCTTCCAGCATTCTTCAGCCATAAAAACAATTTAATATTATTGACTTCACCTTCATTTGTGTGTAATATTTCTAGGTGAATTAGTTCTGGCTGATGTTATTGACAGTGATTCATGGCGTCTCTGGCCATCTGGAGACAAAAGATTAATGGTTGATAAACAAGTTTACAGGAATTTGAGTGTAGTAACTCCAGAAGATTTAGAGAAAGTTAAAAGAAATTTTCAGTGGGTTGCTGAAAAAGCCAAAGTAAGTTGAAAGCATAATAATGTGAATGCATGTCAGTATATTCATGGTATACATATCATTCAGTTGATAGAAATTTTGTGATGAAATTTTTAGATTTATGTCATAAAAGGAGAAACCCTCATAATTTTTAATTTTAAAGTTTGTTTGAACAATTTATGGAATGTAGGATAATGGAATGAAATAAAATATCAGAGTTTGCTTTGCTTGCATTGATAATTCAGAATTAATCTGAGATGGTATTATACTCAATTAATGTTCCATATGAAGCACTTTATTTATATGTTCATTTTCCTACTGAATTAAAGAATAATAAACTTAATAAATGCACTGATTTCTATAAATTAAGAAATAGCCTGAAAATTTTTAGTTACTTGTTAAAAAGATAAGTTCTGATTTATGTTAATGAATTTAATACTACATCAGTATATTATTAAAACTGATCTACTTCATATAGTCAGATAAATGTTTTAGAGTAGGTTTTTATTTTGTTTTTTACCTTTGGGAAAAAAAGGGGGCTTGATAATAAAAATTAGGTTAATTTATTTTATGGGCATTATTTGAAAATTGAATTGCAAGTGGGACCATAGTCAGTCTGACATATGTAATTGCTTAATCATAGATTGGAAATTAATTTAGAAGTATAATGATTGTAAGGAACTACTCTGATATGCGCCCTCAAGTCGCCAAATTTCTCGCCAAATATTTTTGGGGAGAAACTTCACGCTGCCACATTACTATCTAAATTTTTTGTCTACATTTTGAACTTTTAGCCTAAAATGTCTCCAAAAACGCGGTTTTCGCACATGCAAAAACTACGTTTTGAACACACAAATTAGCTAAAAATCCGAAACAAAAACAAAAAATTTAGATAGCAAAAACGTAAAGTTTCTAACCAAAAATATTTGACAAAAAAATCCATGTACACAGCGACATGTTTTAACTTAAAAAAAAACATTTACGAATTGCACAATGTAGGCAACGAACGAATCTACAAACTACGCACACCTCGCTTTAATAAATTAACATAACAACAATAAAATTTCAAAGAATACCATGTACACAGCATCCTGTTTAAACTTTAAAAAAAAATTCTACGAATTGCACAATTTAGGCAAGGGAAGGAATCTACGATCTATGCACTCCTCGCTTTAATAAAATAACATAACAACAATAAATTTCAAATAATACCATGTACACAGCGTTCTGTTTCAACTTTAAAAAACATCTACGAATTGTACAGTATAGACACTAAACAACAAAATAAACTAAAATAAATTTCAAACAATTTAAAAAAAAAAAAAAAAAATCTGAAATGTTTCAGATTTTAAATTACGTCCAAAGGGGCGTTTTTTAACATTTTGTGTGTTACCTTTCTTTATTAAATATCATGTTCCTCGCACTTAAACCATAAAGATCCAGTGCAACAGCAATATCGCAAAAATAGTTTTAAAACGAGCATATCTTTAGAATTTCCGATACAGAGACTCACGCGCTGGAGATAAAAATGTTTTTTCTGCACAACGTTGCCATTGCTCGCTTTGAAATCCTTGAGTTTGTTAATCAAAAATTCGTCAAAGTTTTAAAAAATAGGAAATCGATCATAAAACAAATTTCAAATTTCAAAAATTTGGTCTTCCACATGCCTCATATTCGTTGGAGGATTACATTATTCAAAATTCGATGACTCTATGTACCGTTATTTTATGACAATACGAGAAATATACATACATTTACGCAGATTTTCATTATTTAATTTCTTCAAATATAATGCAGGACTCTAACATTTTATGGCAACAGTTTGAAAAGTGAACCGACATTTATCCGTCCGACGCAAATTGCCAAAACGAAACTAATAGTCCTTCGAGACTCAAGTCCCTTTGGACTAACAATAACGACAGAAATTCATACTAAAGAACCAATGAACATAACATTCTACAAAATAAGAACAAGGATAAAATAAAATGCACTTACCATTAATTAATGCGTTTTCGAATAGCAGAAATATAAATTTCATACCGCCTTTAACATGCCGCCACATAACCACTATCGTATTTACACGACAGCCAGACACACTATCCAGAAAATTTATACTATGGTTCACAAATAAATAAAATCACAAATCCCTACTTCTATCATGCACTGCCATTAAAAATAATCTCCCAGACCCTCTTTCCACACTTCCAAATACCCACTACCCCTCAACAGGATAGCCACAATCATATTTCCTTTTGCCAAACTTCAATTCAACAACTACCATTTTATCTTTCCCTCCCATCTTCTCTGACACAGAGGCGAACCAACGAGCTCCAGCGAAAGATTTTTCAACGTCAACAGGGTTGCCATAGAACACGCAATCGCACCAAAAACCAGCGCAGAACACATATCGCCACATTTGGTGAAATTAGGGCGTATATTAGAGTTGTACCGATTGTAATTTTTCAAATGGACTATATTAACAATTTGAATTGTTGATTTCCTGGTATTATTTATTAAAATGCAACTCAATAGTAAATCATGTGGAGTAATGAAAAATTTATCCAAGCAGTTTTATTCATCGCATTAAAGATAAATGAGGGATAAAATTGAAGGCAAGATGTTCAATTGCATCGTCATGCTCTTTGAACCATTCTTGAATACACCTAGCAGTGTGGATAGAGGCGTTGTCGTCTTGAAAAAGCGGTCGCTCCCCAGGAAATACAATCTGGACAAATGGACAAAAAGACCGCACCAAGATATCACACCCCATACCATAATGGCGCCACCCCCATGCTTCAATGTCAGCAAGAGGCAGTCAGGATGAAACGCTTCTTTGGGCGTTCTCCAGACATAAATGCATCCGGTCGTCTGAAATAACGTGAATGATGATTCATCTGACCATATTACCTGTTGCCACTGCTGTGGGGGGCCAGCCTTTGTGATCTCTGCACCATTGGCGTCGCTCGAAAGCTTTCCTGTCACCATGGGTTTACGAATTGCCACTCTACCATAAATGTTCACAGCATGAAGTTCCCTTTTGACAGTTTTTGTTGAAACGGGGTCCTGAAGATGACTGTTCATTTTGGATGTTATATTGGATAATGATTGCTTGTGCTTTTGGGCTACTATGTGCTTTAAAACCCGTCTATCCCTATCAGCCAGTTTTGACTTTCTGCCACTTCTGTGCTTTGAAGACGCCGTCTTACCCTCTTTCGTGTACACTTTCATAACGGCCGATACCCTACTCCTTGCACACCCACAAGGTTTGCTGTTTCCGTAACCAATGCTCCACTTAAACATGTTCCATTATTATTTATCATATTTATCATTTTTCATTGGAACTCTGACAGGTTTGACATTTCAACTTCTCACAAACAATTTGATCAAAGCATGCAACACAGGTGACTGCTGTTGAGAGATTGATACCTTCCTCTTCATGCTCACTAGGTGGCAGACTTCTGTTGTAGGTTGGCCGGGTGTACTGCAGATGTGAAATGCGTGATACTTTTTCACAGGTGTTCACATTATTTTGTTCTCCATCTGTATGTCTTATCAAGGGGGAAAAAACAAGAATGTCCTTGCTCAAGAGTACCATGCAACCAACATTCGAAATCTCGTCTGATAAAAAAAGGCACCGGATGTTGTGAATTTTTACAGTTTAACCAAATACAGAGTTCATATTTTGGACCAGATGACCAGAAAATACTCAGTGAGGTCCTCATAAAGACATTGGCCAGTTAAAGTTTTCTTTTTTTTTTTTTTTTTTTTTTCTTTTTAAATATACTCTTGATTTGGCTATGATAAATGCATGGATTTACAAGAAACCAACTGAATATAAGAACACCAACCTTCGTGATTTTAATTTGAATATGGCTGAGGAGCTTTAAAAGATGTACATTTCATCCAAAATTCACAAGCTTCCTATATCTGACGAAAAGAGAATTGATACTTGTGTCAACCCTTCCCGTGAGTTTAAACAGTGCCAAATAAATGCATGCAGAGGTAACAGAACTTTGAATACTTGTGAATATTGTGAAAAATATGTTTGTAGAGTCTGTACATGCAAAATTTAAAAATTAGTAATCTGTATGAGCTGCAAAACCACGTGATGTAAGTACTAATATGTGTATTCTTTAATATATTTGTTTCATACTGAAAACTTTTATGACTCAGTTATTAAATGATAAGAATTTTAAAAATATCTAGAGGGATTCTTTTTTTTTTTTTCTTTTAGCTCTTTATTACATTAAATTATCCTTTGATTAATATATTTACTCACTTTACTTTTTGCTCTTTGTTACACTAAATTAGCTTTTGGTTGCATCTATTTACTCAATTTACTTTATTTACTTATTAAACAAGCAAAAATAATCGTTGTAAGCATTAACTGTACATAATATTAGCAAAAAGCGGGCTTTTTCTTCTATTCAAAGCAAGCTGTCAAAATAACTGCTGATCGTAGTTATGGGTATACGAAAAAAGCCATAATGCTAGTGTTAATGCAGTCTTTTCATACATTAGTAAAATTAAAGATATTAGCACCTGTTAGTGGGTGTACTTTTCTCAGTTTGTGAAATTTAGGACCAGGAAGTAATATTGAATTCCAAAATTGGATTGCTTTAAATCCAGCTGTTGAATTGGTATAATGTTTGTATTTTTTATACTATTCAAAAGTCTAAATTTTTTGCTATAGGCTTTCCATTTTAACCAAAGTAATATCAGTTGTTTGCTTTATGTTAAGAGTCTTGTTATTCAAGCGGAAAATGAAACACCAGTTTTCTTCTGATTTAATTAAAGTCTGGCTGAGCATTCTGCAGACTTATTGTTACATATTAAACTATTATCAGTTACTACACTATGAGGAAATTGTTTTCCATCTTAACGCTGAATGTAAACTACTGAAGTCACTAAATGTTTTGATTTTGGTATGATGTGGGAGGTTGTTAATGCAAGCATCTACAAAGTTACATCCCATAACAAGGTTTGATGCTGTAATTTTTCATGTTTCCACAAATCTTGTTTTT